TCCCGCTCCCAGGTCCTTGCTCATTATTATTGTTATTTCTCCCTTTTGCATGCTTCTGAGGACCTTAACTGGTATCATATAAAGAGAAAGGGAGAGACGATGTTTAGCTATAGAAAGGGAGAGACGATGTTCAGCTATAGAAAGGGAGAGATGATGTTTAGGTATAAGCTCCATTGTTTCTTCACTGATCCACAACAACAGATTGAGCATTTTCCACCCCACCCCCCATTTTCTTCATGATTACTCTGAGTCATTTTTTTTTTCAGTGCTGTGACAAATGTCTGAGAAAATCAACTTAAAGAAGGAAACAGGTTTTGGTCAGGGATTCAGAGTTTCAGAAGGTATCAGTTTGTGGTGGACTTAATCTCTTGTTTGGGGCCTGATGTAAGTAGGGCAGAAGATTTTATTGATGGGAACATATGAGAGAAGTAGCTTCTCAATTCATGGTAGTTGTGAGTTAAGTGTGTATGTCTGTGTGAGTATGAGAGAGAGAGAGAGAGAGAGAGAGAGAGAGAGAGAGAGAGAGAGAACAAATCTTCTCATGATAGACTTTTTTCCCCAACTAAGCCCTACCTCTCAGTTCCCACCACCACCTAATAGTCTATTTGCCTATTATTTTTGGTGATTATTGCTCAGGTTTTGGTGTGTTTGGGTAAGAAGGATAAAGGGAAGCTACAACTGCTTCACAAGCAAAGGTCAACTTCTTAAAGTTTTCAGGTTTCTCCTGCTGGATCTGGGTTTTGTGTTCATGTTTGTTTATACATGTACACATGTGGAGGAAGGGTGGCCTAACAAAACAAAGTTTGTGTGTAGCATGATTTCGCTAGTAATATTCCTGGGGTTTTCGAAGCTATTTTGGAAATACCTTGGTAACACAAATCCACAGATGGCAGATATAGAGGAGTTATCTGCTGGTCTGGTGAATCCATCCTCTTGTCTTCTACTCATTCATTTATTCCTGCATTCGCGTGCAATCCGCTTCAGTAGAAGGAAAGTGGCGAACTCCTCAGGGTAGCTCAGTCCATCTCAGAAGGCGACTGAGGGTGAAATCCCATTTTTCAGAGGACTGATTGCCAGCACCCAGACCACTCATTCTAATCTGGTACTTTGCTTTGACTGTAGATATCTAATCAAACCTCATTTGGCAATAATAATTATACAAAAGGGTTGGAGAAGTATTGCAAATCTTCCCAGATTCATGACTCTCTGTTTCTTTTTTTCCTTTCAAACACTCACGTGCATTCTCCAACTTTGCAAATGCCTTTTTTATTTCTGGAGGTTTTGTGGCGTTTCTGGGGCACTTTGGGAAAACCCGCTCTATTCCTTGTTCTCCATACTGCGTATGGTGTCACAGAGCTTAGGGGCGTAGAAGTCTGTGAGCAAATCCACCAGTGTTTGCTCAGCTCCTGATGCATGGGAGGCACAGAATGGGAATGAGCCATCTGCTCTCTGTATCCTCCTCAAAGCCACCCTGTTAGGAAACATAAGGGCGTCTGCTTTTCCAGTTGAGGAGACAGGTGTTCGGAGAAGAAGCAATTCTTGTTGCCAATCGCTGCAGCGTGAGGATTCTGGTCCAGGTCTGTTTGACTACAGGTTTTGCCCCTTTCCTTGGCAGTTCTGACCCTGCTTTCTAGGACATGAGACAAATAGCATCAAGTAGACCGTGGACAGCATCCAGTCTTGGAAACAGAACATTCATATTTTGGGAGAGTAAAGGGGTGTCTCGGAGAAATCTCACCCATCACACCTCCAGCACATTATGCTTCATGATCCGGGTGTTGCAATACTCAACTCCTGCTGGATGAGGAAAGAGATGCCACAGAAAATGGTTCATGGTGAGCAGATTATCCATATCCACAATAAGCAAAACCCACAGGAACTTCCTTGAAGGCACAGAGTACCTGAAGGCCTTAGAGTTTCAGTGGAAATAATTGCAGAAGGTCCAGTGTATTTTATCTGGGAAACCCAAAATTTGTCAAGGAGGTTAAACCCATTTGCCGCTTTGCCTTCTACTTATGTTTTAATATAAATGCTACTTAATGACTTTATTCATTTACCTTTGATTGAACTCACAATTCCCCCACTTTGGAGCATCTAATTCGAGTGTTTCTAGAAGTCTGGGCTTATACCACTAAAGAAGGCACCATTATTCTTGAAACAGGAATCATCACTACTACCCAACCCCTTTCTTTGGCATCTGTCTGCTAAGCACAGGATGCAATTGCAAGAGTGTCACAGTGTTGCTAGGAAATCCATTTGTCTTAAGTCTTGAAGACGAAGGATCAAGCACAGCTGAGAGATGTCTGAGCAAAGTTAAAGGATGGAGAAAGCTTCAGCATCACTTCTTATTCTCCACACATCTCTTTCCCTCTCCCTTCCATTCAGTTAGCTAATGAATGACGGGGCTGGGCTGACTCTCAGACCCTGAAGACAGTTAGCTTCTGGAATTTGGGATGATGTACGAAGGTTGCTATGGACTGGGACTGAGAAGGCAGTAGTGAGGGTGGCAGGGATATAGATATTCAACCATGGACCCAGCATGGTTGTCGTGGAAAAAGAGAGCAGGTGTATTGTGGCTTGTTACATTTTGTTAAGGTCTTTAAGCTTACTTGTGATCTCCAATGTCTATCTCTCACCTGTATTTGCTATGGAACTTTAGATCTCTACAGAATCAATGTTATTTATTGGTTGGATCATGTGCGGGATACTTCTTTTTTTTTTTTTGTCAACTTGACACAAGTTGTTAGGGTGATCTGATGTTGAAACACAGTCAAAAGAATGGCCCATGGTGAACACGGCCTTGAGGAATTGTGAGGAAGGTTTCAGGAGAACAGAGCCTTTTATCTCAGGTGCATTTTGTTTCCTGGCTTGTTCTTGGATGTGATTTCATGCATCCTGTGACATTTACATTCATCTTATGACACATGTTTATTCTTGGATATCAGAACACAGCTACCAAACCCAATCAGTATACCCTGAATCCGAATATGGCCTTCTGCCTGGCCTTTGTGCTTGCTTCCCCGATATAATCTCTAGTACGTGCCTGACAGTTGTGTTTTAATTGGTTAGTCCTGAGAAAGTCCTGGGAAAGAGCTGCCCTGTTAATATTCAATATTTGCTTACTGGGGTCTATTTGCTTGTTTCGCTAATCACGTTTTCCTGAACTCAAACAGCCTTCCTTAGATCGCTGCTTTCTTTGTTTCATTTGTGTATAAATGTGCACAGAAACTGGAGAATGTTGTCCACAGCATTAGACTGTAGTCTGCCCCATTCTTTTAGGCCCTCAGATCCCAGGTTGAGATCTGCACAGGTGGGCTGAAAAGCCAACAACCTGGGAAGAGGAAAAGTTACTTAAGGCTGTGTCTATCACGCTAGCCTGCAGGCAAGTTGGTGGGAAGTTTTCCCAATTCATTAATGAATGCAGAAGGGACCAACCCAGTAAGACGTCTTGGGCTATATGAAAAGGTAAGCTGAGCAAACTGGGGGAGAAAGCCAGTAAATTCGTTCCTTCTGGCCTCTGCTTCAGTTCCTGATACTGGGTTTCTGCTTGAGCTCCTGACCTGACTTCCTTTCACGATGGGCCATGATTAGGACAAAGAAGTCAAACAAACCCCTCGCTCCTAAGTTTCTTCCAGTCATGGTACTTGTCACAGCAATAGAAAACAAACAGAGACAGCCTGGCTTCTGAAATGGGAAGCTGGGCAGTTCAATCATGGCTGTCTGCAAGGGGGTGAGGTAGCAAATCCAGAACGACGGATACCTCCACAGTGCCGACCTGACACAGAAGGCCTTTAGCAGGAACTCTATGGAGAGTGGCCTGTTTTGAGTTCATATTAAAAGTCTGATAAAGCAGGACTCTCTGTTCAGAGGGAACTGCACAGAAATAGATACACTTGGTAAGGAAGAAAGGGAGCTTGCACACCTTACTGCCAGCTTCCATTTCTCCGACTTTTCCATCAGGGCCTCCATCATGGTATCTCCAGTATTCATGATCCTTCCCATTAGTGTCTGTCCCATCTGTCAGTCCTCTCTTGAAATGCCCACACTGACTCACCCCAAGTTTGATTTGATAGTCCTAAGCCGTTTCACTCTAGTCACGAAACTATCAACACCAATGCTCACATTCCCAAATCCCCTTCCACCTGAGCTGGGCGTCCTCTTCGAATCTTTCTGCCTTTGCTGTATCATTCACGTCAGCTGGAAAATGTTCCCATATAGCCCTGGTTTATTTTTAGAGACTGATTTCTCTCTCTCTCTCTCTCTCTCTCTCTCTCTCTCTCTCTCTCTCTGAAAAGAATGTATTTCCAAAGATCACCTTCATTTGGTGAAAATATATAGGAAGGACTCTCTGAACGAATAATGATCCAGGAGACATGGCTTGAACTTTTGAGCCAACCACACCCCCACCTTTTCAGGACTTTCCAGAAATAAAATGCACAGGGCAGCTCAGCTTTGAACAAACAGCTGACTGACACACGGACACACGGACACCAAGCACTCACCAACATCCTACAAAGCGTTCACTCACTGAGTCACTTGCAGATCCAGAAACACTGCTCAGTGTTTACTACTTCTCAGACTCTGGGGACTCTACAAGAATACAAATGTGACCTTGTCCTTGGGAAGCCTGTGGTCTGAGAACAGAAAGGCATGAACTTTATTTTTGTTACGTTCTCAGAGAATTGGGGGTGAAGTCATTGCAGCCAATGCTCCAGACTTCAAGCAGCTGGGGAGGTCATTTAGTTGCTTTCTGAGCTAAAAGTCCCGATGCCTGTGGTGATACAAATGGGCTGGCAGGCAGAAGGGCTGCCCCAAATCAGGAAGTCATTCTTTTTGCATATGAATCAGAGCCCTGGGAGTCACCTATCCAAGGGCAGAGGTATGGTCTGCAAAGTGGCTGCTATTTATAGAGTTCTTAGCCAAAGCAGAAAGCCAGGTATATTGTCATTACCATCATTATCACCGGGAGGAAACTATCCACCTGGCAGTACCACTGATATGTTCTGACACTGTTAGTTGCTGATTTACATTCACTTAGATGTTAACTGCTCTGTAGGCTAGGGCATCCTCTTTCTTGAATAGGTAATAGCATATTTGGATTTCAATTTTTCTTTCATGTCTCCAGCTAAGCAGTGCATGCTGCTTTTAGACAAGCATAGCTGACCAGTTGCAACCGCCTCATGATTCCATTTAAGGTAAGAACAGCCTGGTGAACAGAGATCGTGGAGTGAACGTTTTTTTCCTCTGACTTATTTTTGTCCAGATGGTCTACAAGTTGTAGTGTAGTTGAAGGTCTTTAAAGTTATGGGGAGAACAGAGGATGGTGTATCTGCTTTTGCCTGGGAATGTTCTGGAAGGGCTTAAATAGGTGAAGGACATAGAAGAAGCTGGTGCCTTTCAAGGAAGAGGGAACAACTTCAAGGTTGAAGAGGGGTTTGGGGTCAGTCAGATAGACCCCAAATTGTAGCCTGACTTTGTTGCTTGCTAAATGAATTGGCCAAGGCATGACATCCCTAGAACCCTTGGCTCCTTCCCCTACCAAATATACACCTATACTTATTTGTCAGACCAGATTTGTATAATTCTTCCTTACAGGAGGCAAGATAACTAACTATACTATAAGTAGCTACATTGAGGGCTGGTAACAGTGTCTGTCACTATTGAAAAGGGCAGAGGCCAAAGGTTGGACAACATAGTCAGCCCAAAGGCTTTATTTTTTTTTTCAAGAGTTTGGAATGGCTAGTGGTGTCTAATTTGGGTTAAATAAAAGCATTTATAGCTGATGAACATTAAGATGGCTCAACAAATAAAGGCACACATTGACAAGACTACCAGCCTTAGTCCAAGACCCAGAAGTCCCACAGTGGAAGGAGAAAACCAGCTCCCTATGTTGTCTTCTGACCTCTACACATTTGCAGACTTACAGGCACACACACACACACACACACACACACACACACACACACACACCCCAATCCATCAGTCAATGGCAAATAAATAAACATTAAAGAATAAAAAATATGGCTGACGAGATGTAGACAGGAACCCTGGTGTAGACAACCTCAGTGACTGGTTTAATCTCACGAGGGAACCTGGAAAAGGCAGAATTGCAAAGCTTCCCATGCGTAACTTCAGAAGTCAGGAACTGGAGAACATCATGTATTTTAACAGCTTTAATTTGAACAAAAACAAATAATGTGTTCAATAGACTGTAATCGTGCTTATTTGCTAAACAGACCCAGTAGGACTGGCACTTGGCCGCGTGTTATCAGGAGTGAGTTAATCTGAAAGATTCCTTCTGTATTTAAAGCCATAAGACTCTTCCTTAAAATACTTGATAATTTGAGTTTAGTGCTCATTTCTCTCAATTAGGTCTAATTAGTGTTCCTTCGCTGTGCCATATGTAATGTTTGCTTAGCCTGGCAAGGTGATCAATTACTTTGGTTTAGTATTTTGTCTCAAGGCTATTTGTAAAGGAAAAAAAAAACCAACAACACCCCACCAAGTAGCCTTTCAGTGAATTAAGGTTCCATAATAAGGGTAACCACATCGTAACAAACCTTTAAACAGGGATGTGACAGCATGGATATGATTGACATTATTCGTTTTTAATGGATATTACTGGTTTAGAGTTTGTGGTTTTAATATAGATAAATACTTGGGTATAAGCTCTTTACTTTAACAAATAAGTATATCTATCATTTGACACCATTTATGATTATCCATCCAAACATCATGGGGCAGGGATCATGCTTACATGATGCAGAAATGAATGAAACACATTCGTTCTTAGTAGGCTTTAGAATCCACTGAAGGCTCTTAGGTACATCAAGTCGATCTCCTGGTGTATGTTAAGAGGGTAGGCTGGATGTTGAAGGACTATAGAGAGGCTGGTGTTAGGGTTCAAGGGCTTGGGCTGGGTGGTGAACGGTGGTCATTTTCTTGGGAAATCTGGAGATATCAGATTTGCATGGGTCTTGAAGGATAGATGAGACTGGTCTTCTAACTGTGGTTGACATAGTGTTTGGTTTTCACCTCTCTACTGTTTTCTTACTTGTAATTTTTTATAACCTTCCTTTGAAAAATAACCAGACTTGTGTGCATGATAGGAAACTTGGAAAACATAATACAAAGAATCAGGACAAAATAGCACAGAGACAGACCAAGTCATCCTTGGTGGAGGATGGTTCCAACTCCTTGTATTTACTAAGATCCATGGCTGCTCAAGACCCTTACATAAAAGGGTAGTATTTATGCAGATCCTGTGCACATCAGCCAGACATCTTTAGATCATTGTAATACCTAATTTAAATGCAATGCAAATAGATATTCTGCTGTATTGTTGTGGGGAAAATGACAAGAAATAAAGTCTCTGAATGCTCAGTACAGATACTACCCGGCTTAACTACATAGAGGACAGATCAGCTATGAGGCAAATAGTTCTTAACCTGGAGACTGAAAATCTGTGGCATGACATGAAACACTGTAGCTGTATCTTACTGCCACTTCATCGCCCTAGATTCAAAATAACTAGAGCTCAAACCAGAGAAAATTCAAGCTTTCTGGAGCATTCTTGAATTTTCATATTTCAAAACTTTTCAACCCAAGTTGTTGGACCCTTAGAGGCAGGGCTTGTGAAGACAGATGAGAAATGTTTGCTTTATGTAACCATCCCAAATATGCATACAATGTGAAAACAAAATATTCACACAATACCCCTATGCATTAGTACCCAGTCTCATTGAGCATTATGTTCTGCTGCAGGGAATGAGTGAAGTTGTGAGCAAATGTGCATTGTTAATATGGCACAGACAGGTCAAGAAGCCCAATGCTTCAACCCCACGGGGATGGCAAAGCCTTCCCTGTGTGATGCTAAGTGGAATGGCAAAGCCTTTCTCGAGTCTCAATACAAATATTAACTGTCTTTACAAAAACTGTTCACCATTGATCTCTCCCCCTGAATGTTTACTCTCTGGAAACTGCTCCAGTACAGAGACTGGTCCTACTGAGATGAGGTAAACCTACCTCCTTGTGCAGCTGGATATAATAAACACTCTGAGCTTCTGGGATACTATGACTTTATTTTATCCCAGAGCACCTGATCCCAGGTTTTTGTAAGTGTGTCTGTCATTTCACCGGTATCTATCATTATTTTTCATCATTTCATTGCCTTTAGTCAAGGTTCTGCCACACAAGCTATAGGAGATCATGGCATTCCTCCTATTTACTGTTTCAATAGCATCATAATTATCGAACTAAATAACATGTACATGCACCAGTGATTTCTTTGCAAGAGTTGAAAATAAAAGGCTTTCAAATCAAGGGGTATAAGAACATTTTAAGATAATCAGATAAGATTCCAGAGTCATTGTAGCCACCCAAACCTTTGGCGTGTTTGTTAGAGAGCACATCCTTTATGAGAGTTGCTATGAGATGCAATGTTTGAATTCATAGACCGGTTATGAGAAGCCTCAGCTTTGCTTGGGTACAGTGAGAATTCTGGAAATTAGGAAGTGAAAGGCAGAGATAAACAAGGAAAAGGAGATATGATGGGGTTACTGTTGTGATGGAATCACTCTACAAGATCGTTATGTAACTTCAGGATTGTGGAAAAACAAGATATATTCAGAAGCTGTGTTGCATGAGTGGTGAGCTGCTTGTTGGTTCTTGGACACCCGGCTAGCTTAGACCCAAAATAACCACACAGAAACTGTATTAATTAAATCACTGCTTGTCCCATTAGCTCTAGCTTCCTGTTGGCTAACTCTTACATATTAATTTAAGCCATTTCTATTAATCTGTGTATCACCACGTGGCTATGCTTACCATCAAAGTTTTGGCACGTCTGAATCTGTCAGCAGCCCCATGGCTTCTCTCTGACTCCACCCTCTTTTTCCCAGAATTCAGTCTAGCTTTCCCTGCCTACCTAAGTTCTGCTTTGCTATAGGTCCAAAGCAGTTTCTTTATTTATTAATGGTAATCGCAGCACACAGAGGGGACTCCCACATCAAAACTGTATTCATGAGGTAGCATGGTTATCACAAAGTATATGTAACAGACAAATGCACATTATTATACTTTCTTTTTTTCCTGTATATGTGTTGCTTTTTATTGATTTTATTGAGCTATACATTTTTCTTTGCTCCCCTTCCTACCTCTCCCCTTCCCTTCAACCCTCTCCCAAGGTTTCCATGCTCCCAGTTTACTCAGGAGATCTTGTCTTTTTCTACTTCCCTGTAGATTAGATCTATGTATGTCTCTCTTAGAGTCCTCATTGTTGTCTAGGTTCTCTGGGATTGTGATTTGTGGGCTGTTTTTCTTTGCTTTATGTTTAAAAACCACTTATGAAAAGAACCAGGTTCCCTGTATGCCAGGGACCTCGCCAACCAAAGGCCTACCTCTTTGATTAAATTGTCCTGGGGCGATCTGCTCTCAGTGTTGCGCTGGTCCCTGCCGCCTGCGTTGCCTGTCACTGTGTCAGTACCCGCCGGTCCGGGTTCTTTCTTCCTCACTCTTCCTCCTTCTCTGGCATATTAATTATGTATTTTACAAATTAATTAATTTTACACAGTCTTGTCCATGCAATCCTGTCCAGCCTTGAACTCATAAACCTTCTGCCTCAGCCTCCCACATGCTGAGACTACAGGGATTGGCCACCATACCAAAAATTTGTTTTGCTTTTTAATTAAATATCTTTGAGACAGGGTTTCACCATGTAGTCCACATGGCCTTGAATTTGAACTCATAATGCTCCTGACTTGACATTGTGTGTTGGGATTAAAGGCATTCAGTAGTATGCAAGGCCAGGGATATTCATTTTTGACGTAAAGATGTGAACACAGGCATGTGTGTGTGTGTGGGGGGGGTGATTGTACATGTGGGTCCGTGCATATGTACAAAGAAATCATTGTCTTTATATTTAAATACACATAAAGCCATTCATGAAGGAGAAAATGGCAGCTTTTATTAACATTCCTCCAGAACTTTTTAGTTACTATGTAGAAACTTTGTCACAATGTTTTATAAACAGAAAGGAATCATAGCTAACAATGAACTTCAAGAGCAGGCAAACGTTAGTCAGGACTCCTGACCCGAGTGATCTCATCACTTGTTGGAAGGAATTTGAGCTGTAATGGGCACAGTGACAGAGCAGTGTTCAAGCTTCAAGCACAAATTCAGATAGGCTTTGTTTGGT